TTAAATTAATTAATTTTCTACTGGTTTTAATATAAATAAAAAAAACTTTATCAATTAAAATACTTTTGCATGAATGGCATGGTGGTTTGATTGGCTCGCGAGCGGGGTGCGGGGGAGGTCCTTGGTTCGATTCCCAAAGCAGACCGATGCGGGAGCAGGCTCACCTGGGCACGGACGAGAGCGGGCCGGGCTTATTAGCATGGGCGCAGATGGGAGCGGGCTCACCTGGGCACGGGAACTAGGCCCGCTGGCGATGACGAGTATGGAACCAGGTCCGCTGGCGCAGGAGTAGGCTCACCTGAGCCGGAATTTTTTTTTTTTAAAAAAAAATCATTTTATTTATTCCGATGGTTCTTTTCCACCAGAAAAAAATTAACGGTGGACTTTTTCAGCCGGAAAACATTTCCGACGGTTTTTTTTTTTTTTTTTTACGGAAAGGTTTTCCTATGCTCGATTTACCGTCAAAGACGTTCTCGTCAGAAATCAGCCGAAAAATTTTGAAATCCATCGAAAACTTCATAATTTTATGCACGAAATTCCGCCAGAAATACACGACTTTCCTGTAGTGAATCACAAATTTGCAGTGGCCAGTGGCTCCATGAACAACACATAAAAGGTACACTGAATTAAAATATTCATATTTTTATATTAAGATATGATCTGTTTTAAGTTAGTAATGTTGCTTATGAAGTGAAGTGATGACAAAATAAATGCATAAGAAATTAAATCATTTTTATTAATTTATTTATATTGTACATTCCAAGTTATATTTTAGGAAAATTAAACAAAGAAAATGAGAACCAAAGGAAGCATTATAGTTCTTTTAGTGAGGTACCCGTAGTGATCCATGATATAAATTCTTGATCAATGTTAACATCATGAATTATAACAATTACAAATGAAAAAAAAAAAAAGAAAAACAGAGAAGAGAGAGTATTGATTACCAACAATGAAATACCAGGCAGTCCATCCACCTCTCTTTAATATGAGAACATGTCTGCCTTTGAGATCAATAGAGTCATCCTTAGTGAAAATTAAACTCCCACTCTGCGAGCCATTAGCTTCTTCCATTTCTCTTATGTTGGATTTCTTCTTTTCACTTAAATCTAAATATATAAAGAAAGAAAAAGATCACAGACAACTCGTCATCACTCATCAGTGCTCTTATCAAATATTATTTAACCATTACTTTATTACTTAATCGAGCAAAAAATTATTTGTTTCTAAAAACAATCACCAATTTCAAATTTCAAACTTTAATAACTTGTTTGTATCATTCATAAATTGATAAAGATTGCATTCCTAAAAGATAAAGTATAACACATCGTTCTCTCTAAGAACCTTATGTTTCACAATATTATGATGATTAATTTTCCAAAGGGACTATAGAACAAATGTTTAACATCTATAAAAATGAGATCCAACAAGTGAAGAAATTCATTTAGCAAAAATATTACCTCGACTTCCCAAAGATTCAAACACTCCTAAAAGTAATAATTTTTCTTAATTTTCTTATTGGTAACCTGTGATGCGAAGTATACATGAAATGATGTAAAAAACAAACAAATACTTGACTTTCATTAAAATGGTCCAACATTTTTTCACCAACAAAGTAATTTTTGGTATCAATAGCATCAGAAGCCACCTCTTCCATATCCTCCCAAACGCCAAATTTAGCTTCAGCGGACTTTGGTTCTACCTCATCGTTCCAGTGTTGGCTAGCACCAGGTGCTTCAATCTTCACAATCTCAAAAAGGTTTCCTTCAATCTCCGGAATGACCATGTTAGCATTTTATGCCTAAGCAATTTTCTGAATTATAAATAAAAAATTTACAAGATATTGAAATCATAATACCACAAAAATTATAAATTTACTCAAAATAAAATGATGAAGGGTACAAATTACTTACCTCAGGCTAGTAGTAGATGATAAATAAGCAAGAAAAATCACAATCTCAATATATTATACGTAGAAAATTTATGGAAATAATCCTAAAAAAGAAAGTTAAATATTTGTTATGTGAATATATATATATATATATATATATATATAATGCTAAAAAGCTATATATAAAAATTATGGGGGAGAACTAATCTGATACGAAAAAATAGTTTAAAACCATATTGATAAGTGTTGCGTGCTAGAATATACGCGGCGGTAGAGTTTGTAAATTCGCGTTCGAGCGATGTACGAGTATTCAGCACACAAACAGAAAAGAGAATATGAACACCAAAATTTTTACGTGGAAAACACAACAAGGGAAAAAACCACGGGGCCTCGCCCAGTTGAAAAATTCAACTAGTGTTTTGCAAATTACAAATGAATGATTCGTCCCACAAGTCAGGGCAATCAGATTACAGTTCGTTTCTTCAAGCAAGTTTACAAAGTTCTGCAAAATCCTGTCGTATGACTCAACGTTTGACACTTTGAATCCGACCGGAATGGGGTGCTGAAGAACGGCTTCAGTTCGAGGTGATGACTCCTGGAAGTTCCTCTGTCGGAGAGCTCGCCTCACATCTCCTCGAGGGAACTCTTCTCGTACCAATCTTCGCAGCTCATGACGTAGCATTGTGAGGGAGCTCAGCAATGTGCGGTTGGGCAGAGCCTTCTGGGAGATCCGGAAGAATGTGAGGTCGTCGAGTTGAGGGCGGAGAATGTGTAGAACTTGCTGTATCGGCAAGTTCATTATCCTGCCGTGACTGAGGATGTCTTCTAGGTGGAGGAAGATGAATTTCTGCTTGAAGATGTTCGAACTGAACATCTTCGCCGCGTGGTGGATCCTGAGGGAGAAGAATTTCCTCCCTTTGTGCCAATGTCGGCTGTCAATTCTATCACAGGAGTTGAAGGATCTCGTTATGAGATTCTTCCATTTTTTCGGATTCTCTCTTGTAAAGAAGGTCCCAAGGTCTCTTCTCCGGCAGCATTCTGCCCCCAGGATGAAAAGAGGTAGACATCGGATGTTTGTGATTTGCAGACATATTTCTGGATTGGTGGGAGTTGGAGCGGGAATCTCCAATGATGCGACTGCTACGCATGTTGACCATTGTAGCAATACTTAAAGTTGTGGGATAGTGTTTCCCACAGACGGCGCCAAACTGTTGCGTGCTAGAATATACGAGGCGGTAGAGTTTGTAAATTCGCGTCTGAGCGTTGTACGACTATTCAGCACACAAACAGAAAAGAGAATATGAACACCAAAATTTTTACGTGGAAAACCTAAAAAGGGAAAAAAACCACGGGGCCTCGCCTAGTTGAAAAATTCCATTAGTGTTTTGCAAATTACAAATGGCTGATTCGTCCCACAAGTCGGGGCAATCAGATTACAATTCGTTTTTCTAAGCAAGTTTACAAAGTTTTGCAAAATACCGGTATTTCCTGAAAATCCGGCAGAGTTTCGGCGTATTCGGGCGGCGAGAAGAGCTCCGACGGTGGTCGAGGAGGAGAGGATTCTCCCTTTCCCCTTTCTCTTCTTTTCTCTTCTTCTTCTCTCTCTTCACTTGAGTCCCCCTTTGTGTTAGAATGAGGGCTCCATTTATAGTTTTTCTAGAGTGGAATGACTTATAAATAGCTGTGAGATCAGGGGCGAATAGGGAGTGGTTTGAATGGACGGCCGATATTGAACCATTCAATAATGCACCGTTCGTTGGACATTTGGAGGCCTTAATGATGTCAGAATTCGGTGATCTTGGGCTCGTTGGATTTGTCTCGTCGAGCCGTTCGATTCGAGTATAAGCTCGTTAAAATCGGAAACCGTTTGGTAACTCAAATTGTGCTTCGAACCTCCCAACAGTGCTTCGGGCCCTTGATTCAGACCCATTTGGGCTCGGATTGGGTTGAATTTTGTGTCATTGGGTTCATATTTCTGAGATGCTCAGTTTGACTATAAGATCGCTGAAATCGAAGTTTAGACGCTCCTGAATCTCATCTTTGAAGTTTCCAACTAACTTTTTGCCTCGAGATTCGTGCCCGATCAAGATAAATTTGTGATCACGTATCAATTGAGGACTACTGATATCTTTCATTTTTTTTTAAAATGTAGAATGCAGAAATATCAATTTGATGCATATAGGATTCAATATCATTAATCATCAACTACTTTAAGCAAATTAATCAAATCTTACTTAGTTCAGATGCTGCTAATTTTACGTAAAAATCTTGGCCACCATCAATTAACTGCTTGAGATCTATCAGCTCATTTCCCCAAGTAGTGCAACCACTTCCTCCAACATTGATATTAGCATTTGCATAAGCCAAACAAGAAAAATTCTTCAAACACCATAACCTGTACTCCTACAAGCTAATGCTCTGAATAACTATGGTTGTTGTTGTATCTGGAATCTTCATTCTAATCATTTTCAAGGTAAAGACAGCCATTAAGGTTTGAATTATTTTAGTGAAGCTTGACATGTTAATTACATATTATTAACTAACTTCATTTTAGTCGAATCTAGTTTCAAAAGCACTCATAAAAGAGCAAGCAAAAGTAAGAGATTATTTCAGGAGGAAAAAAAGTCTGAATTGAAAAGTTATAATTTGAACAACATAAATATTTGATTTGATGTAAGCTCGGTGCAGGTAATAAAAAATACAAAAGCAATTAAAGCTCGGTGCAGGCAATTAAAAGAAATAAATAACTGAAGATCCTTCTTTTGTTGGAAAAAAAATAATGATTTTGTAGCAAACATCTTGGGATTGTGATTATAAAGAAAATAAATATTGATTGGTTGAATGAAATTGGGGTCTGTTTGGTTAAATGTTATGTAGATAGCAGAACTATCTAG